CTCTGTACAAAGAGACAGTGAGCAGACCACATGGTGTTGACAGCGTGCATCTCCCAGGGGAGACACCTGAGGGGCACCCCTATAAGAATGAGGGACAGGGGACATGTCCTACGGGACAGCCGGAAGGGGAGCTGTGCAGACAGCCCCCACAGGATGGGCCGTGCCCCCAGGAGCACGCGGGAGGAGCAGGAATGTACAGGGCTCAGACCACAGCCCCGTCAACATCCGGACACGCAGCCTTGGTTGGACTTGACGTGATGAACAGTAGGAACCGTCTAAGTTTACCCGACAAAACGCGTGGATGGTGACAGCTGATTCCAGCAGAAGCGTACGCATAAACTAGAGGGAGGAACCCATTTAAGAAACATTAGCACCCCAGCCCCCACAGAGCCAAGTCTCCACCACCTTCGCTACATCTTCAGTGTGCACGGAAGCCGTGGCCGGCAGGGTAAGGGTCCCCAGAGACGCCGACAGCCCGAGTCCTGAAACCCGTGAATCTGTCACCTCACCTGGCAGAGGGACTTTAACTAATTAGGTCAGGGGTCTTGAGATGGGAGATTATCCTGGACCACCTGGCTGGGCCCCACGTAACCACTGCTGTCCTTCAAGGTCAGAGCCTGGGAGAGGGCGTGACAGAGCGAGAAGCCTTCAGGCCATGTTCCCATTTGAAGACGGAGAAGGAGTCATGTGCCAAGCAGCACCGGGGTGTCTGGAAGGTGGACAGGACTGGACAGTGGGCTCCCCGGGGCCCCTGGAGACGTGCCGGCCCGCCGGCGCCCTGGCTCAGTCCTGACACGCAGGTGGACTTCTGGCCTCCAACTCCGTGAGATGTGTGTGCGTGGGGTTGAGCCGCTGAGTCCGTGTGATCTGTCCCAGCGGCCCCAGGAGACAGTCGGAGAAACCCGCGGCACACGGTGTGAAACGTGCACGCCCAGGCCTTCCCCGCAGAAGCTCGGTTCAGTTCTTCCCGGACCGTCGAGGCCCTGACAGGTGCCCGACCGACCGCGAGCGCGCTCCAAGACTGGCGCTCGAGGAAAACGTGGCTGCCGGGACGTAATCGAAACAAAGACAGTCGAGTCCACAGCCCGCGAGGGACAGAGCATGGGTCAAGGAGACCACGAGGTCCTGAGACGGGAGGCCCGAGGGTGTCTTCCTGCAGACGCGGGGGGCGAACGGGGCAGGTGCCCCGGGAGGCGGAGACTCCCCTCACGTGTGGCTGCCGCGTGGTCGACCAGATGCCCGAAGGCGGGAGGCCTTGAGGACTGACCCAGGGGGTCGCCGCACTCACAGACCGCGAGCGGCTGTGGGAAACAGAGGGTCGCAGGGGACACGCGAGATCAGGCTGTTGGAGGCTGGAGGGGGAAGAGGCAGGGCTCTTCCCCCAGGACTGCAGACCAGGGACAAGCTGGTCGAGAAGACAGTGTGGGGACAAGGGGACCGAGGGCGCAGCCCCCAGGCCCAGCGCTGTGGGACACGTGTCATCAGCGGCGCCGGCGTGGCTGGGATTTTGCTGCACACGGGAAAAGGCATTAATTGGGAGAACAAATCTCCAGGGGTTCCATTTCCTCATCTGCAAAATGAAAACCTCAGTCAATCTCGAAGATCTCACTTGCTCTAAAAATACTGTGATTCTTTGACTGAGTAGAAAGATGATTTGTAGCTAATGATGCCCACTGAGAAAACAGTTCGAAAATACACGAGTAACTGTGCTTAGGTCATCCCTGGGAGAGAACAGCTCGGCCCCGTTATGACGGTCTTCAAATACCGGACAGTGTCTGGTTGACTGTACCCAAGATGTCGTAGTTTGGGGCATAATGTTAAATGCTCCCTTGCCTCCCCCGTTCCAAGGAACACCTCAGGTTGAAAAGCCGAGCTGGTCCTGAATGGGGTCCTCTGTGACCATCAGCTCCTTCTCCCCCTGCTGAGGGCTGATCCTGCCTCCCTTGGAAGTCCCCTCTCTGGCTGCCGAGTGTCAGGTCACAGGGCCCCTTTTCTCCCTAGGTTCCCCAAAACTGCAAGGACTCCAATGTGAATGTGGTTTCAGTTTTTAGTTGATTGTAAATGCAGAGGAGTATGTGGTCGATAAAACGTGATTCTCTAAGGGCTCCCTCGCCTCCAAGCCCCGTGGGAGTGAGCACTCATCGCCCGGGGACAGCTGGTCTGGCAGCGTGGCTGGGGCACTGTCAGGCTTCGTGACCACAAGCCTGAGAAACAGGAAAATGAGGGCCTCCCCCTAAAACTCCGGTAACCAGAGCACCCAAGTGCAAGGACACAGGAAGAGAAACAGGCCGGGGCCTCGCGGGGATCGGGCTCTAAGATCACTTCAATCAGAATGAGAAACACCTCCATTGGTGTGTTGGCTCCCAGGCCGCTGACGGAGCGCTGGGCCCACTCGCATGTAGGAGAGCCCGCCCCGAGGGGAAAATCCGACTCCCCGGAGGGTCTGAGGCAGTTGGCGCCTGGTGTCTGTGCTGGGGGCACGGTCATGACCGGCCGCCTCTCAGCAAGTCCTCCAAGTACTTCCTTCCCCCGCCCAGAAGGAACACACACAGAAGGAATGTAACATGTTGCGTGTCTGCTTCACGTCTAATTACTAAAAAACAACAGAAATTCAAATCCACCCCCCACAAGTCAGAAATTCAAATCAACCTTCCTGTACCTCGGACATAGTTCTACGTCTCACAGGGTGATGGCCGACCCGACGGCGTGAAGACTCAGCAGCAAGGACCCCCTCTGGCACGGAGCTGCTAACGTGCTAAGTACTCGACAACGACGCTGTGAGACGCTGTTCCCAGTCGGGACCAAAGCGAGGGACCGGCCAGGCTGTGAGCAGCGTTCAGGGCCTCTGACCCTCGCCTGCTCCCGTCAAACACTGGGTAGAAACTCAGTGGAGTTTCCACTGAGGCGCTAGCAAGCCGCAGTCTCTGCGCACACCCGGGTTATCCGTGATTTCCCGTTTCACCTCCCAGCTGCCTGTGTTTTCAATGGCAGGATAGTCAGAAGATAATTTCTGTAGCCGGAAAAGAATTAGAAATTTGAAAATGGAACAATCAGATTCTGAGTTTGCGGGTGCAAGGGCCGCACTGTGCTGGGAAGAGGCATCGCGGACTAAGGGAGGTGCCCTCTCAACGTGCCGGCGGCGCTCACACGGGCCTCACGCTCTCCTGGGAGGACACGGATGGGCGCTGCTGTGATTATAGTTTTGAACGGGCCTCATGAAAATGAGAATTTTTGAAAAAAAAATTTTTGTTTATTTTTGAGACAGAGACAGAGCATGAGTGGGGGAGGGGCAGAGAGTGAGAAAGGGAGACAGAATCAGAAACAGCTCCAGGCTCCGAGCTGTCAGCGCAGACCCAACGTGGGGCTCGAACCCACGGACCGTGAGACCGTGACCTGAGCTGAGGTCGGACGCTCAACCGACTGAGCCCCCCAGGCACCCTTGAGAATTTAAGAAACATTTCCAATGGGTCTCGTAGCTACAGAAACAGCATTGCCCCATTTGAAAGTCGGGGGAAAGGAGAACAGAAAGGAGGGGAAGAAATGCAGACAGCGCCAGCCAGTCGGTGAGGGGCAGGGGGTAGCCATCAACCACCCGGGGCCCTTGACCTGCCCAGGGAGGTCGGGGTGGGGGGACGGGGAACAAGCACACAGCAGCTGCAGATGACACCATGTGTGTGTAAAAAGACACGCAGGCCTCCGTTGGGGGAAGGGGCGGGGAGAGGGGACAGTGGGTGACGGGTACTTGTTGGGATGAGCACTGGGTGCTGTATGTAAGCGATGAATCACAGGAATCTACCCCCAAAACGAAGAGCACACTGTACACGCTATAGGTCAGCCAACTTGACAATGCATTATATTAAAAAAATTAAAATTAAAAAAAAATTTAAGAAAAGACGTGTGCCTCTGCTGGGGTGTCGCAGCTCATTTCTTGTCCCTTTTCATTGTGTTTTTCTGTGTTTTGATACATTGAGAACATCTCAGACGTGCAATCAGATAACGTTCAAGATTATTCTGTAAAGATGCTTCAAGGGTCATCAGTGGGATTGGACTGTGGTTGGTGTGCCGTAGATTTATTGAACAAACGAACGAACTAATGAAGAGCACACTTAAAAATTATCAGTGTCACAAAAATCTATATAAAACAATGCCATTTCTTGATACATTCGACCCATTTCTCCAGTAGCAAAGAAACAAAGAAGAGTGTCCTTCAGAACCTGGCCCCCTTCACCTACACCGCCCTCATTTTGCTTCCGTCCACACCATCCTGTTGCGGGGCCACTTTGGAAGTGGAAGAGTTAGAAGCTTCTAGCATTCTGAATCTGAAACTGTTTAATTTTACCTTCTACCCAAAAAACATGAAAAAGAAAGTTGTTGGGTTTTTGTTGGCTTATTTTTGCTAGGAAGAGCATTTTGTACACTCCCGTGTTGGAGCCTGAGTATAAGAACTCAAATTTTTACTTTTGTAGGATTCAGATTTTTCTGTAAGAAGAACGATTTCTGACGCGTGAAACCCTGACTACGTTGGCCATCCACTCTTTGATGGTGTTCACATCGTAGGGATATTCTGAGGCTGCTGAAAGTTTTTTTACCCAAGCCATCAGCTCAGACGTGCGCTCCGGACCGTCACAGGGCCCTGCCACAGTCATGTGACTTCCCGCCTCTGGGATTTTACTTGAAGCTCCTTTTCACAAACAACACCATTTTTCCTGGAAATGACCAGAAGCTCCTTCCCCCTCGGGCTCACCCTCCCAGGGGCAGGGGTGAAAACGAGAAAAGAAATGGAACGTAGTGAACTTTTGAGAGTTTACAAGACAGTCACAAGCGGGGCACCTGGGTGGCTCGGTCGGCTAAGCGTCCGACTCTTGATTTCAGGTCATAATCTCACGGTTCGTGGGTTCCAGCCCTGCGCCGGGATCTGCACTGACAGCCCGGAGCCTGCTTGGGATTCTCTCTCTCTGCCTCTTCCCTCTTATGCTTGCTCTTTCTCTCTCTCAAAATAGACAGACAGACAGTCAGCCACTAACCGAGGCTGGAAGAGCATCTGCAGTAGATGACGTATCGCACCGACGCACCCAAGCCAAGGGTCAGTCCCCAGCTGTGCGGTCCCTGCCCGGAGCCTCACCCTGGCATCTGTGACTGCGACTTTTCTCCTCCTTCCCCGACCCCAACCCCCATCCCATTTCAGCTGTATACCTATTATTTAATTTTATCGTGTGTTCTTTACGGCCTGTGCGTGTTCCGTGGCCTCCCCTGCAGGAGCAGGAGTCCTTGAAGTTAGGAAGCATTATTAGCATTAGAAGTATCTGTCCCTCTGGCACAAAAGGGGCAACACCTAATATGTCCTCAGTGCTTCTGAATAAAGAAGTGTGTAGGAAAGTTTTTAACTTTGTGACCTTTGGCCTCAGCTGCTGGGAGGTCATCTCGGAGCCCTTGGAAGGTCACGCCTGACAGAGGCAACTTTTCCATGGGGGCTTCGGGCGAGCCAGGTAGTAATGCTGTAAGAGGGTCTCAGACCTTCATCACGACCCTGCAAGTAAGTGCTGTCGTCGTCAGGGAAGAGGCTGGTGCCCGATGCTCGTTTGCTTCCCCCAGACCACACCGCAGCTCACTGGAGAAATCAGAGTTAGAACTAAAGTACATTTAACTCCAGAGCTCAAACCACGGTGGACAAACCCAGATGAGGGAGGGTCGACACTGGGTCAGGACCCAGATGAGGGAAGGTCAACGATGGGTCAAGACCTAGATGTGTGAGGGTCGACACTGGGTCAGGACCCAGGTGAGGGAGGGAGGGTCAACAGAGGGTCAGCACCCAGATGCGGGAGCCTCAACAGTGGAAGGGTCGAGAGTGTGCAGGGCGCAGCTGAGTCAGGGTGGAGAATGGCCCAGAACAAGGTGAAGCCTGGTCCATAATGGGAAGGGATGACTGCATTCATTGACTAGTTATGGACTGACACCCACTTTGTGCAGACACTGGTTTGTCACGGGCACACCGTGCCTGTCGCTGGGCTCATGCCCCTGACATTCTAGGGGCATCTATGCATCTTGACCGGCCATCAGTTTTCGTCTGCTGTCGGGTCCGGTGGAGGCCCATGGGTCCAGACCCTAATCCAGGTCGCGTAGGAGGGAAGGAAGGCCCCCGGGCAGAATATCAGATTTGGCAAAGTAAGAAGACAAGCAACGATGGTCACCCGTGAGATGGCCCGGCCTCCCGAGCTTCCTCTGTGACAGCAGGGACCGAGCTGACTGCCCGCGTGGGAGACGGAGCGCCAGGCGAGGGTCTCAACACATTCTTTCTGCAGAGGAGAGCTTCCCGTGAGGCACAGTCACGCGGCAGGACCCGTGGGCCCATCGTGGCTCTAACCGTATAGAGACAAGAAGCCTGATGGAGTGAGGCCCTTCCAGCTCCTTCTGCAGCCCCCGCGGGGGCAGAGCTGCGCTCACCCCGCTATTGGGGCCGTCGTCTCCTCAGTGGGACGCCGGATGATGTGAAGTGAAACACAGCTTCCCGTTTTCAGGGCCAAACAAAACAGAACAAAACCAAAAGGGCTTTTTCCCTCCCCCGCCCCCGATCCTCTTCCCCTAAACAAATTTTAGTTTGCTTTTGACTCCCTCCTGATGCCAGGTCAGTGTTTTCTCGCGCTGAGAAAACGCAGAACTCCAGTGTCCCGCGGCAGGAGAGCGCCGGCGTCCGTCACTCTGCAGAAAGGAGCCAGCGTCACCCGCGGCCCCGGCCCCGTGCGCTTGGCCACCTTGCAGTGGAATCCGGCAGCAGACGCGCGGCAACATGCTGGCCGCCAACTGCTCGGTGCAGAGCCGCGCGGTGGAGGCGACCGTAGCCACGCTGCTGGCGCTGGAGTGCGGCCTGGGCCTGCTGGGCAACAGCGTGGCGCTCTGGACCTTCGCGTTCCGCCTCAAGGTGTGGAAGCCCTACGCCGTGTACCTGCTCAACCTGGTCACCGCCGACCTCCTCATCGCCGTCTGCCTGCCCTTCCACGCCGCCTTCTACCTGGGCCGCAAGACGTGGCGCCTCGGACCCGCGTCCTGCCGAAGCCTGCTCTTCCTGCGGGTGCTCGGCCGCGGGGTGGGCGTCGCCTTCCTCACGGCCGTGGCTGTGGACCGTTACTTCCGCGTGGTCCACCCCCGGCTGAAGGTCAACCTGCTGTCCCCGCGGGCGGCCTGGGGCGTCTCGGGCTGCGTCTGGCTCCTACTTCTCGGCCTCACGCACCAGAGCCTGTTGGTGCCCGCGGCCGCGTGTCCCGGCCTGGAGCCCGGGGCCGAGCTCTCCTTCAGCGCCGCCTGGCAGGAAGCGCTGATCTTCGCGCAGGTCGTTCTTCCCTTCGGCCTCATCCTGTTCTGCAACGTCAGGGTCATCAGGACGCTGCGGCGGCGGCTCCGGGACCCCGGCGGGCAGCCCAAGCTGCAGAGGGCCCGGGCGCTGGTGACCGTGGTCGTGGTCCTCTTCGCCGCGTGCTTCCTGCCCAGCTTGCTGGCCCGGGTCCTGGTGGCCGTCTTCCGAGCGGCGGGCGGCTGCAGGGCCCTGGGGGTGATGGTGCACGTGTCCGACGTGAGCAACAGCCTCGCGTACCTGCAGAGCGTGCTGAACCCCGCGGTGTACTGCTTCTCCAACCCCGCGTTCAGGCACTCCTACCGCAAGGTCTTCAACACCCTCAGGGGCCGAGGGCGGGAGGCCGAGGCCCCGGGTGACATCAAAGACTCCTACTCCTGAGGCGGCCAGCTCGGCGGCCCGCGGTCTGGGCCAGAACGACCACCGCCAAGGGCTCCGGAGAGAGGACGTGCCCAGGCTGCGCTGCAAGGGTGTGGACCCAGACCCGGGCACAGCGCGGGAATGTCCTCATGGGCGTGTTTTCTGCAGCTATTGTACGTGATCGGACCGCAGGCCACCCAGCCAGGGCCTCTGCACCCACGACCACGCAGGCTACCCGGCGGCCCTGGAAACACGCAGCGGCCGGGCACCCACCCCCGGGGGAAGGCGCTCTCGGGGGTCCGTGAGGGGCATCGTCCCTGCACTCCCCGCTCCTGGTGAGTCTTCTGCTGTCTCTCTGCCTCAGCTGCGAATGCACAAGGTCAGCTCTCTTCCCTCTTGCACAGACTTATGGTAACTGATTCGGGAAAGCGGGACGTGGGGCTGCTCGGCCAGGTCCCGGGCTGTGGGCACCTTACGTGCCCCGTGCTCAGCCCCCCCGGCACGTAATGTTCGCTACATTTGCACAGATGGTGCCTTATGTCCAAGACCGCACGGCTCCCCAGTGTATCATAAGAAACACGTTCCTACTTCGTGTGTCGAAATTGCTTCCAGACGTTCCTTCTCGTGTCTGAATGTCTAGGTGCTTTTGGAACTCACTTTGCTCCCCTGCTCTGGGAAGTCACTGCACATGATGCCTCGTGGGAGAAACGCACAGTGGGCGACCCCAAACTGCACGTGCAACTGTGGTTTCCACCCGACACTGGGCGGGGGGGAGGCGGCTCGCCCACAGCAGCCGCGTCATCTCGTGTCAGGCTCCTGAATTGTGTCCCAGACCTGGAGCTCACGATGGCGACCACAGAGTTTAGAAGCCTCCTCCCTAACTGCCTAGTCTCTCGTTCTCTGTTCAAACCTGGTAGTGGGGGCCCCAAAAAGACTCCCCGAAATGCTTAGAGGAGGTACAGAGTCTACCTCATGAGGAGATCCACACCTGTCACCCTACCTGGAGCCACACTGCGTTGCCCACACGGAGAGACCCGGAGAGACCTCTGCTTCTCCCCGGGCCGCCCCACGGTCTCTGTAACACTTAGGGTGGCCTGGTGACGTTGGGCAGCAGACAATGACAGCCCCTCCCGGACGGGTTGGCCTACCAGCCGGGCTCCTCAGAACCGAGGTGGGCGTGAGAGTTGTCCCCTAACTGCGCCCAGCACATAAAGCGTGTGAAGATCTGCCTAACAGAGTCCCCGGAGGCTCGCCGGGCCCTCCGCGATGCTCCCTACTTTTCAGGGGCTTTGTGTCCTCTCCAGGGAGTGGGACTTCAGGGGCCGGGTGTGGGGGGCTGAGCTGGCCACACTGTGGGAGGCTGAATAAAATTCTCTGCCGTGGACGCCTCTCCACCGTGCCGCCGTCCTGCCCCGAGCGTCCCACGCCTGCTGCTTTTTAAAGATCTAACTTTTACCGTAAACATTCCCCGCATCATGGTAAGCTCTCCACGGGCCGTTCTTTACTCGATTACCCAATAATCCGACCAGATGTTTCTTAACCGCTTCCCTGAGTCTGGACTACAGTCTGCAGTCCTGTCACAGGTCAGTCGCCCTGGGACATCCCACAGCCCCCACAGACCTCAGTGCAGCCATGTTCCCGGGGGCCCGAAGCCCCCACACGGCCTGGACAGGCGGGCGGCCCAGCGCCATGCTCTGCTGACCCAGCACAGCCGTCTCCGGCTCTGTGCTCGGCCCCCACCAATCCCTGCTCATAGTTAGCCCGGCGACTAGGGGTCTCCTCACAGTGTTACCAGCAGGGTCCTGGGCAGAGCCCCGGGCCTCCCCTCTGCTCCTGACCGCACGGCAGATGGAGGCCCAGGATCTTTCAGAAAACCCTGAGGCCCCGGCCACACCCCCCGCCACTTGGTCTGCCTGGGGCATCCGCGGACATGTGTTAATTCTGTTAATGTGCAGCCAGAGCGGACAGTCACTGGGTTAGTGGCCAAGGCCAGGGCCTTTGGGCCAGCATCCCGCTCTGTCACCTCCTAGCTTTGTGAGCTGGGACAAGCCTCCCCACTGCTCCACGAATAACAAAACCCAGCGCGTGGGACTCTGCACGGCTTAGGCCAAACTCTACATGAAATGCTGAGCGCAGAGCCCGGCACACGATCAGCACTCAGCAGGTATTACTTTGCTGTTTTCAAGTGATTGGTTTATTCTCTGAACTTTGTTTACGTCCCCAACCAGACTGGGCGCCCTCTGGGGACACAGCTTTCACCTGTGTGCCCTCGACACAGAGCCTGGAGCGGGATGGGTGCTCAGTGACCTGGACGCCGAAACTTTCTGCCCAATCAATGGTTTGTTACTGTGTGCTTTCTGGGAAATCCTCTCCGGGCCCTCTGTGAGCCTTCTGTCTGACTCAGGTGTTACTCTGCACATCTGTGAAAGGGGATAACTTTTCTGTATGTTGGAAGGTTCCAGATCCTGCAAACACCCACCTCTGGGGATGTCCCCCTGGCCTCCCGCCAGGTCCCTCCCATCACAGGAGCCTCACAAGCTCTGCACTCAGGTATCTTGGAGTCATGGTCCTTTGCCAAACTCTCTTCTCTGAGTAAGGAAATGAGGCTGAAGGAAACCTTGGGCGGCAGACGACGGGCCCCAGAACCACCACGGCTTTGCTGTCGGCAGCAGGTTTTACTTTCTTTTCTCCTTTGACTCACTTCTTCTAACACAGCAGGCACACAGGCTCGTCCGTGAGTCTTGCACATCTCAGCATTGTCCGAACTGGGGCAGATCCAGGAAGCACAGCCAGGAGCCCAAATTTTGACTTGAGTGGTGAATTTCTTTCCCTGGTCGGAGGGTCCTGTCTGAGTGCTCACAGTCGGCTAGTGTTGTCATGTCTTTTTCCAAAACCCAAAAATCACTGATTCCTCCAGGTGCCGGTGTCCTGCACGGAACATTCTATTCCCTGTCCTGTGACTTCCTGCCGGCCCCTTCTGGGCTCACCCCTGAGACCCGCTCTTCACAGAGTCCCCTGAGGGCACGCCACCCGCTCCCCAGCACATCCCCACAGCCCACAGGCCACCCCCTGGCGCTCACGTCTGCCGTCCCCTCTGCGCCGCCTCCCTGAAGCTTGGGCGATGCCCATGTCCAGGTGCCCCCAGCCTGGGGCACAGCCGACGCTGCGTACGCTTGTGGAATCAACGATAGCTAAGTGAACAGGTCCACCTGGTTTCAACCTTATCAGGGGATACAAAAATAATTTTTTTAATATACTTTGAAATTCTGGATCCCAAAGCAAACTTCCAATATATCTTCCAGAATCTTCCAGGAAGACGCTAATACAAATGAAAATATGATGGTTTTTCTTATTTATTGGAGAAAGATTTTCCTCTATATTTTCTTAGTCACTTCTGCCAACAACCAAGTCAACAATTTTGATTTACTTAGGGGTCAGGATAATGAACCGATCCCATATCAGCCCATGGGCGGGGTCGGGGGATGTGAGGTGCGTCAGTGACTCTCAGAAGCTTCTGGAACACCTGGGGTGCCTGGGTGGCTCAGTCGGTTGAGCGGCCGACTTAGGCTCAGGTCATGATCTCATGGTCCGTGGGTTCGAGCCCCACGTCGTAACCTGTGCTGACAGCTCAGAGCCTGGAGCCTGTTTCCGATTCTGTGTCTCCCTCTCTCTCTGCCCCTCCCTTGCTCATGCTCTGTCTCTCTCTGTCTCAAAAATAAATAAAAGTGTTTTTTAAAAAAAGTTAAAAAAGAGTTTCTGGAACACACTTGTGCTCATAGAGTGCTCACAGAGTCCCCAAACAATGTCCTCCTTGAAATGTCTCCTTTTTAAAATTGTGGTAAAATATACATCACATGAAATCTACCATCTTAACCAGTTTTAGAGCAAAGTCCATGGTGGTAAGATGTTCACACTGCGTGCCACCTCTCGCACCGTCCGTCTCCAGAACTTTCCATCTTCCCCAACTGAGCTCTGCACCTGTCAGACAGCACCGGGCTCCCCGAAAACGACAGCCAGGCCGGCGTGTGTTTGCTGTGTGGCCACCCGGTAGCCCAGCTGTTGGGAACTCGCACACCTTCTATCCTCAAGTCTCCTTCCCACCGAGGGCACCGGCCGGAGGGCAGGGGGCTGTGAATTCCGTCCCAGGGGCCTGACCCGGACGGCGGAGTCCAGGCCCTTCAGCGTCCAGCAGGGCTGCTGAGCTGCCCCAAGGGCTAGGCCCGCTGCCCCGGTGGCCGTGTGGACGCGGGCTCTGCGCCTGCCCCACCTCCACGCCGGGAGGGGGGTCCGCATCCAGCCCTCCGGCCATGTCCAGGCCAGGCCGCAGCGATGCCCCTCTCACAGAGGCCGCAGTGTCTCCCGAGGAAGCCTGTCTCCTCCCCCTCGCCCCCTCCTCGGTCAGGCAGGCTGTGTGTGGGTGTAGACTGTCTACACTCCACTCAGTGCGTGCGGTGCCCCCGTAAGACGCCACGGTCCAAGATCGTGAATGTATTGACGGGGGTCTCAGTAAGAAGTGGTTTCCGTTGCAGAACCCGTGAGGACAGCAAGGAAAGTACTATTGCCCTGTTTATATGAGCAGACTGGTGCTCCGAGGGGCTCAGGACCGTGACCCAGACTGCAAGTCACCAGTGGGCAAAGCCGCGACGCGAGCTTGGATGTCCCGGGACCAGTCAAGGGACCAGTCAGGGGATTGGCCAGGGGACCGACTAGGTGACCAGTCAGGGGACCGGCCAGGGGACCAGGGGACCAGCCAGGGGACCAGAGGACCAGCCAGAGGACCAGCCAGGGGACCAGGGGACCAGCCAGGGATCAGCCAGGGGACCAGGGGAACAGCCAGGGGACCAGGGGACCAGCCAGGGGACCAGAGGACCAGCCAGGGGACCTCCTCTCTAGTTCTCCTCCTACGGCCTCTCTTTGGGCTTTGACTGCTTACTGACATTGAGATTTTGCTCCTATCCTGTGGCGTCCCAGTAACTGGTCCTCTGAGAGAAAAGCAGCCTTGCTAACCCACCGTGGCTAGCTTGCCGATTCCAGAATGTTCCACAGCCGAGTTGCCAGCGCAGGAATGCTATACCCCCTTCTGTTCCTTTGTGAGCAGACATCAGTCCCCGAGAAGCTGCATGTCCACCCTCCCCCAGTGTCACCGTGCAGACAGAGAGACGGACAGAACAGAGATGCACAGACGCCACAGACACTGACGGAGAGATCAAGAATGACACAAAGGCGGAGCTGGGGAAGGGGAGCTGCCTGTGTCCTGGGCCAGTGTCACCTGTCTCCCCTGCCTGTGTCCTGGGCCTGAGTGTGTCACCTGTCACCCCCAGATGTTGTCAACAGGCCTTGTGTATGTCCCGTGGAAACTTCTGGAAACGTTCTGCAGTGAAAGCCCTTCATAAAGGCTTCTGAGAGGCCAGCCGGATCCAGAAACCCAGGGGACACCTGGCAACGCTCTGGGGATGAGCTGTAGCAGGTAGAGGGCGGGAGGCAGGCCCTGGATTTCGGCGGGACTAGAAGCCAGACGCTCCAGCCGAAGCCCAGCTCCTCCCCTCACGGCTTGTCACCTGGCACCCAGGGCCAG